TACAGCTCAGAGCCTGGAGCCTGCCGGATTCTGTCTCCCTTTCCTGCCTGTGCCCTCCCTGGCTCATACTCTGTCTCTCTGTCTCTCAAAATAAATAAACATTTAAAAAAGAACTATTTAAAATTTAACAAAGAGTGTTAAAAAATTGACCCATGTAAGCTATTTAGCAGAATGTTTGGCACATAGTGACTAATATTTTGGTTTCTTTGAAATTGCAAGTCCTTACAACTAGGATAATTTTAAATAGAGGAAAAAAATAACCTCAAAAAAATGAGGGTGGAAAAGCAGAAGTTTTAGTGATGCCTTGGTAAAGCTTCAAGATGAAGAGAGGTTAACCAGACTCAGACCTGCTAGCTGAAGAAATTGTTTCTATTTGCCTTTGGCATGAAGTTATCGGCGACCATCTCTGAAGATAACCCTCCAAGGGAGATTAAAAAAAAAAAAAAAAAACCCAGGAGGTTTGAATCATGTCCCCAACTTTTCCTTTCCAAATTATTATTTTCTTACACTATAGTGAGTCAGAAGGTGAAATTATAAACCTAAAGTATAAAGATCAGAAAGCAATCATTTGATCACAAGCACAGAGAACATATGCTTCTTGTCGTGAGATTATCTTCCACAAAACAAAAAATCATAAACATCTTGAAAATGGGAGATAGAGACTGATAGGTTTCTAGTAGCAAGTTTATAAATTGAAAATCAATACTTTTCATTATTCATAAGTTAAAATGCTTAAAACATGTTGACAATCATTTTATTTTTGTGGGCTGTAGTTCATCAAAATGAAAACAGTGTCACAAGTTTTCACATGAATTTTAAATTTACTTTAAGTGTGAATTTTATTATTTCTCACAATATCTTGAATTCTTGAATCATGAATTCTTTGATCATGAAGGTTTTTCTAGAACTAACTCTAACACTTGACTTTTATGTCCTAAAATGTTTTGACCATTAAGACCCCATTTGGGAAATGTTTTGACCCCAAAAAACTGGTTGGTTTAATAAAAAAAACTAGAGCTGGGCATATCAAGTTAATAAATTGTCTTAAAGGGTGTTAATGTGGCCAGCACAGAACTACAAATGAAAAATGTCCCAGAAGAAAAGGTCCCTTGAGGATTGAGTCTACTGGGTGAATATTAAAATTCAGCTCCTCAAGAGCCACAGCCATTTCCACGAAGGGCGACAGGAAGAATCCACCCTCTTGGGAGCAATGGCAGCTACAGGCCCCAAATCATCCTGGTCCCTCTGGACACTCTCTCGTTAGTTGTCACTGACCATTTACTGACCTCACTTGTGAGAATTCAGTTATACTCGCCTTTACCAGATGGTTAGACAAGCAGAATCAGGGAGCAATTCCGAAACTAGAAGAGGAGCCCTGGAAGAAAAAACAGGAAAATGGAAAGTGTATAAATACTTGGTTTAGTTCTCTGTGATCTATCTAGTGTGTGAGGTCCGTGGTAAGAGAGATGCCTCTAGAAAGATAAATCACTTTTCTAAGTGCAAGTGTTACTGATCCTTAATTTCTTCATTGTGACCAGGCATGAATATAAGAAAATCAAGACAAATAAAAAAGTATGCCTTCACACTTCCTCATCACCTCTCTGTGGTGGCCAGTCTTTCTCAGGAGGCCATCCACAGAAACTTCATTGTAGCATTGCTTTTAAGTGATTTCTCTTGCTTTGGACTTTGTGTTTATAACATCTTACTCTAGGCCTCTTATCTGTCAGGATCATTTACTGTTCCT